CTGCTGACTTGCACTCATCTACCACCTTGCATTTCCTATTATTCTGTTAGGAAAAGTTAAACTAATGGTTACATACATTGTACTTTTCTAAACCATACACAAGGTTTTCTATTCCTATCCAATGCTGAGGGGAAGCTGGGGAAGCAAACATTGGTGGGTTTTGCTTTTAATTGGGCCAACTCTATTCTATTACATTTTGTTTCCCTACGCAAGGAATTTTAAATCTCCATTTAGATAGGGCAAATATCAAAATTCTTGAAAGTGTTTTGGTAAGACTAGAAGCAAATTAAAAATATATGAATAAACAGAGGGATAGAAATTCAATTTTCAGGATGGTAGAAGCAAAGGAAATCCACGTGACTTTCAGACGTTATAGTCAACGCTGAGGATTTGCCCCTTGCAAGTCTGGTGCATGCAAGGCTGAGTCACTTAACTCTCTAAACCACCAGCAGTATAAAAAGCCAGACCAAACCAAAAACAACAAACAAACAAACAGAAACAATCCATTGTCAATTCAGGCCAAGAATTGTAACAGATGCCACTACAAAAGATGCAGGAGCTTCTTCTGGGTTTCCCATGTGCACGTGCAGGGTCCCAAGCCTTTGGGCCATTCTCCACTGCATCCCCAAGCCACAGGCAGGGAACTGGATGGGGAGTGGCGCAGCCAGGACATGAACCATTGCCCATTTGGAATCCTGATGCTTGCAAGGCAAAGGTTTAGCCACTGAGTCGTTGTGCTAGATCCTGCTTATGGTTTTTAATCGTATAATTAATAATCAGAGATGACACAATGTTTAGTAGGAAAAATCTCAAAAGGCATTTCCTTAAGTGATAAAAATCCTAGTACTAAAGATTTTATATGTTTTCTTATGAGGCTTTTAGGTGCCAGGGAAGGATGCTTCTTTGCTGATCTTAACTCTACAGTTAACTTAATTTGTTAACCAGCCAAAGTGTATTTGTTCTTCAGTCATAGAAAAGAAGGGCCTAGTGTGATGGCTCCATTGGCTAATCCTATCCTCACAAGCACCAGCATCCCATATAGCCGCAGGTTCATGTCCCAGATGCTCCAATTTCCGTCTAGCTCCTTGCTTGTGGTCTGGTGCCCACATGGAAGACCCAGAAAAGCTCCTGGCTCCTGGCTACAGATCTGCTCAACTCTGGGCATTGAAGCCATTTGGGGAGTGAACCAGAGAAGTGAATATCTTTTTCTCTGTCTTTCCTTCTCTCTTCAAATCTGCCTTTATAATAAACACAAATAAATCTTAAAACAAACAAACAAAAAGAAACCATAACTGGTTACTGTCTTAATTTCTGGACGATGATGGTGCAGCAAAATCGCATAAACAAGCAAAAGAATGTGGCCACATCTAGCAGACATGATGTTGACTAATGGCATTGTTAGTAACTAGTGAATGGCAAAAAAGTCTTCCAAGTCTGGCAGAATTCTGCTTAGCTAATTCAGTAACTTATATTTATCTAGCTTAACACTGGTACAAAGCCTAAATGTAACCAGCTTACTGGCATCTCTAGAAAGAAACAGAGATTCTCCATGTTTTTTTAAACATTAAGTAAAAAATTAATGGTAATATATTCCTTTTTATGTATTAAAATGTAAAGTATTGGATTTTTTTCCCTCCCAAATAGAAAATCCAGTAATGTGACAATATTCTATTTCTATCACCACTTCTGAATTATTTTAGTTTTAAATGTAGAAAATTCTAGAATGTCCAACTCACAAAATTCAGGATGTAAAAAGTGGCTAAAAATGAATTTACTCTTTGTATTATAAAAGGGTTCTTTGCCTTATGATTTAATTAAATTAACAAGAGACAGTAAGCCACAGTAGTTAAGGGAAGAGGCTCTGTCCTAATGCAGAAATAGCCTTGAATACTACTCTGAACTCTTAATGGTTGGGAAGGCAGTAAAAGATGGCCTGCACTGGCATCCCATCCCCTATCAATCAACAGGAGCCCTGGATGCAGCTCTTGGTTCATATCTTTAGCCTGATCCAGCTCTGGCTATTACAAGCATTTGAGCGAACCAATGGAAGGGCGATCTTTCTCTCTCTCTTGCTCTGTAACTCTGCCTTTCACATAAACAAATGTTGAAAATATTAGTACTATCCAGAAAAAAATTACAAATATTGTTTTTAAAAAATCTTTTTAAAAATTTTATTTGAAAGTGTTACAGAGAGACAGGGAGAGACAAAGAGATCGTCCATCCGCTGGTTCATTCCTCAAATGGCCTCAGTGGTTGAAGGTGGGCCAGTCTGAAGCCATGAGCCAGGAGCTTCCCTTAGGTCTCTTACGTGAGGTCTCCTAGTTGGGTCAGGGGTTCAAGGACTTGGGTCAAGGACTTTCCCAGGCACATTAGCAGGCAGCTGGATAGGAAGTGAGCAGTTGTATAAATGTTATATATGTTATTAATATGTATAGATTATGTAAATATCATGTAAAAATCACTAACTAGGAATTACAAGCAAAGATAATTTTTAGTTGGATTAAATAGTCCTCACACAAGAATGTAAAACAGTGAGTACACTAAAGTTGAAGATGTATCGAGGGACCGCAGAAGTGTTCCTAAATGTGATTTGCAATTTCTACCTTGATCTTCGGTATACAGAGGACAGTCACAGAGCAAGAGTTTTGCATCAGAGTTTGAATCCTGGCTTAATGCCATGACTGTAAGTTAACATGTCTTAATTTACCCATTGTGCAGTGGAGATAATAAATAATGGGACCTACATTGTTGAGGGGTTAGAAGAATTAAATAGAGTGACACACACTAACATCCCAAGTAATAATATTAGCTATTGTTAAGGAATATCTTTTTTACAGTTTAAGGTAAAATATCAAAAATTCTATGGGCATGAATATAAATGGAATACTGATTCAAAAAGTTCGTGGACAATGTTTATTATGAATAAATTACATGATGAATTTCATTTTTTTGCACAAAAAAATCTTAATTTCATTTTCCACCGACTTTTTGAATTACCTTCAGAGATATATACTACAGAGAATACAATTATATCTCATCCAAGCCAGTCTAGATTTTTATTTAAGAAATAACAATTATGGCTGCTCTTCTCAAAGCTGCACTTCTACTTCCTTGACAGTGAAAGCTTGGCTATTGGTTCAGATAACAGAGTAAAAACCAGGTTAGTCAGCTGGCTTAATTTAGCAGTTCCTAGCAACAGAGGCACCAATGTACTTCATTTTTTTCTGCTTACTATGCCTTAAAAAAAAAAATTGTAGTTAAAAACAAAACAAAACAAAAAAAAAAACCTTACTGTGTGTAGCAGGCGGGCAATAAAGCTGAGACAAATTTATTTTCAGAATAAATTCTGAAATCTTTCATGGATGACAAAGGATTTAACTGCACTGCAGGACAGGGCCTGGGAGCGTGGGAATACGGGTCTTGGAGACATCCTGGCCTGCGCTTGAAGCCTGATGGTGGATGTGAGTCCTGACCATGTGGAACACGAGGCAGAGGAAGTCAGGGTTTCTAAGCTTCTTTCCTGGTTCATGCAGTCGGGGTAAGCAACGGGTGATTAGCACAGCGCACACGCATGCCCCAGCAATACGGAAAGTGCTCACTTCTCAAGATCTACACCAAAGTTCAGATACATCAGCTTAAGAAAGATCAGGGTACTTAGGCACATGGGGAAAATGTCAACTTCTGGTATTAGACACACAGTTTTTTCTAAGCAATGGAAAAACACCCAAATATCAGAGTTGAAGAAACTGTAGCCCCTTACACGTATTTTCAGTGAGAAAGGTTTTAGCTTCTGTCATGAACTATATTTAAGACAAATAAAACTTTCACAAGGAGAGTACAAGTAAACGGGAAAATTTGTAGAGAATACTAAAATTTTAGAAAACAAATACAATTGTGAAATGCACTTAAAAAATCTATGTGCTAGCAATGAAAACAAAAGCCTATTTGCTTTCAGCAAAATTATAACGTTTCTAAATTAACTGTCTGTGTTGTGCTACAACCCAAAGTGGGTTTGTAATATGATCAAACTCCTGGAGAAAAACAAAAAAAGCGTAATGAAAAATATTAAACAATTAAAATTCATATATCACATTAATTTGGTCTTCAGTACTTTGTTAATGAAGAAAAGTGAAAATATATTGAACTGTAAAATTTTGCTGGTTATCAGAAATCCAGAGATCTGTAAAAATTCATTAAATGTTCATTTTAAATACTTAGGCAAAATAGTTTATGCAGTCACTTAGAACTAATACTTTAGTGTTTAATGTAAAAGAGATTCATGTTAATTTTTTAAATAATTATATTTTTACCTTTAATATTCTACACTGGTTTAAAAAAGGGATCACAGTGAAAAAATATTTTGTCACAAGTATTTGCTTTTTCTCTTTTGAGTTAAATTAGAAAGTATTAAATAATGTTTTGCTTATATGCATGCTTTAAAAAATACCGGAGGAACTAACTTATCAATTGTAAAATCGCTACATCTTCCTAATTAATTACTACTTAGACTTTTACAATTAATGCTTCATAACTGCTCCTTGTCAGAACTGGCTGACTCAAACTGTAATCATTTTTATACTTCTAAATTTAACTAATGCAAATTACAGCCACGTTCATAAATTCTTCTTACCCAATAATGTTTGGATTTTCGAAGATATACTGGGTCAAAATGTAACTTTTCTATAAACCGGATATAGATATCTCTATATATGTAATCTATATGCTTGTATGCAATCATAAGAAATGAAATTACCGTTTGCTATACGTTTAGTTTACATTTCCAATATCTTTAAAATTTTAGCATTGGAAAAAATTCTGCTGAGTGTACTTCCATAAAAAGAAATGCATTAGAGCGATCTTAACACTGCACATTTTCACATCTGTTTTTTTTTTATTAATCTTGAAATCTGCAATGAAATTTAGCCAAATAGAGAACTCCTAGAAAACTAAAGTTATCAAAAAGCTTAAGTTAAAGCAAACAGATTTTAAATGTCACTGACCCAAAGCATGCACTGCTCCTCTGTGCTTGCTGCAGCTCCTGCTTGCTTTAACCACACCGACAGCACTTTCTCTGAACTGCAGCCCACGAAAATTTTCAAGAAATTTTGCCATTTCTTCAGTCACAGTATCCAGGTAAGTTTCTTTAACAAATTTCACTGTTGAGAGTGGAGCTAAAATTTCATACAGTATATTAAAATCCTCTTCTATCATGAAGTATAACTTGAGCACTGTGCTTTGGTAGCCACAAGCTATTGCGGCTAAATTTGAATCTCTCCGGTAAGAAGGAAGGCAGTCCTGCAGGAGGCCAGTCAACAATTTATTCTGTATGCTTTGGTACTTGATTAAAACTTCCGATTCTGGATAAAGAAACAAGAGTTGCTGTAGGCACTGACTTTTCAGTGAGATTTTTTGTTGTGAATTATGTATTTCATTGTGGCTCTGCAGTCTGCTCACTAAGAAGCGTCGAAGATGCAGTCTTATGTCATCCCACAAAGACTTGACGTCCACAGGGGAATGGTCTTCCACGGAATGAAGGGAAGTCCTGGAGAGGCAATGGAAAGATGTCCCACTCAGGCTCCAGGGCAAGGAGACGCCGCTGTGGCAGGAGAGCTCCCCCAGTAAATCCAGTATCATTTCTTCTTGATTTTGCTCATTCTTTAACAAATCTTGCTAATAAAAGTAAATAACATTACAAATGTCATTAGCTCTATGTATAGTGGGGGGAAAAGTATCTGGTCATGGACGATCATAATAATTTATTTCACTTTAGAATCATGATTTTATTGTTGGTGTGTTGCATTTAGAATAAATCAATTCAGAGTTTTAGGAAAGTCAGCTTTTAAGGACTGTTAAATTTTAGAAAGGCCAGTTGATTACCTCTCCAGTTAGACTTCCAGATGTAGTTTTGAGTCCTTGTTGTTATTTTTCCTGAAATAACCTGAGCTATATGAAAGCTACAGTTATAAATTCTAAATAAACCTCTACAGTAAAACATTGATTGAAATAGATTACTAAGACAAAAATGTCCAAGATAATACTCCTAATTAATTCCTGGTAGATAATTTTCATGCTTGGATGGATATACTTATTATAAATCCCCAAATGAACATACAATTCTTTAAGATGATTCAGGACTAGAATGGGGATATTTAAATATAGTATGTGCCTAGAGGTTACTAATAGCTGCCGTCCTGAGGAATAAAATTTAATGCATCGAAAGATTTCAGGTTTCATTTAAATTCCTTTTTGAGAATCATGTTAGAAAAGACTCTACTTTAAAAATTAATCTGAGAATGTTTCAGAGCCCTCCAAAGAAATAACTAACTCAAAAGGGAATAAGGATACTCTCAAATCACCCCCTGAAAGATATGAAATTATTTCTTTGTACTTTCTGTGCCAATAGAAAACAATGGTGGATGTAATTGCTAACAGTAATGGAACCAGAAAAAATTACTTTCATCTTGAACTTTGAATTATTCAATATATTCTCCTTACATTCTGACTTTCTTAATTATATCTCTTTCTACTAATGCTGCAAATACTTTATATTCTCTAAGTAGAATTAAAGTGATTACAAGGAAAATGGAAGCAAGGCCCATGCGGCTTAGGATCAGGCTGGCTTCAAGACTTCTTACTGACCAAGACACCATAGGCATTCAGTGTGATTCAGAATGAAGAACAATTTCTGCAAAAAGTCCTGGAATTTGGTCTTGGTCATCCTCAAGCATTATGACATCTAATGTAATGTTCTATCTTTGATAAATACTTATACAAATATCTATATGATGATAGATTGCATTTTTTTATCCATTCTTGGGTTCCAACAGAGTGAAAATGATGCAGGCACAGCTGTCTGAAATGCAAGCTTGCAGCTGAGGACACAAACATGCAGCAGTCACTTTTCCAAGTTCATAGACACACAGAACTAAGCATAGAGCGCTGGCCTCCCTCCCTTCAGCCACATTCCTTTGACCACACCAACGGCATATAGCCTCTCTATTGTTTAATTCTCCCTCCTCTCTAGTCACACCTTCTGAAATTTCCGCAAGAGACATCCTTACAACACCATCCAGGACATGGCAGATTCATGGCGAATCCTATAAGGCAAATGAGTCCTCTAAAGTGCCCCACTGATGGATTTCTTTATTATTCAATTACCATAAATGTTTAATCAAAGAATAATAATAGATTACAGAGGTTTCAAATCTGTGTTTTGTATGGTCGTTTACATTTTGAAAATAACTTTGGTATAATTGCCACAATGAGGATCCTGGTTTTTATTCAAATAGCCAGATAATTAAAACAAATTTCCTATGGGATGAGGGGAGGGGAATGTTTGAAAATGACTGTCAAGATTGACACTTAGAGGATGTAGAAACTTGATAATAAGGTTAGTTTAATCTGGATCTGTTTTAATAATGTGGTTCCTTCCTTGAAATAACATGATCAATTATGTAAAAAAACCTAGGCCTGGAACTAGCCTATCAGTCTAATGAATTTGAGCAAAACTAAGGCGGCCTCTGCCCTGCAGTGAATGGAGAATGACTTATGTGTGACAGATTAAAAGATAATTAAAAGCTTTTGCTTTTAATTAAATGAGAAGGCATTATTACATCAATATTAATGAAATTCAATACACATGGCTCTTAATAGAAATTAAAGGAATAACTATATCCATCTTTATTCTTCTAGACTCCACCTTCAGGAGATAAAGGGGGAGAGGATTTTCTTAAAAGATTAGGGCTTCAGGGCACAGTCTTCCTTTCTCTTCCTCTTATTACTTTATAAACATTAAAGAGACATCTGTAATAATAACAACAGCCAAAAACTATTTTCAGCTGATTCTGTCATCCTAAGCCATCTACAACCTCCAGATATTTTCCACATCTGCCTCAGTCAATGTTTGATGTTTAGACAACAACAGTGCTTCCCTCCCACCCTAAATTAAATTAAAACCATAGCTGCAGAAACACTGCTTTCTAACAGTTGTGCTGCTTTTCTGGGAATCCATTTTTGCAACCTAGCACCCTTGCAGATGTAGGTGCAAGGAAATAACTATTCTTGAAGAAGGTTACAGAAATCTTTAACATATATCAGAGAATGTCAACATAATGATTCCAATTAATTAATAATATTCTTATAAGAATCATTCCATTACTAAAAAAAAGTGGGTATAAGTGAAAGTTGGGAATGCAGGGAACAAGAGAAAAGGCCATTTTAATAATACAAACGATAGGAACGGTGTCATTATACTTAGCACTGCATGGAGAAAGCAGACAAGGTAGGGAAATACAGAATGCAAACAAACTTCTCTGGTGGACAACTGCAATAGATATCGAATTAGCTTTGTTGGTATTGTGTTATTGATATGCCATTCCACAAACTATTCAGGAGTCATAATTCACACAAAATTTCTTAAATGATAAAAATTATACTAAAATATAAAAAAGACAGCCTACTGGATTTCATTCCTTAAACACACACTCTTAGATACGGCAGAATATGGCTGCTACAGTAAACATTAACAAATGGAAATGAATAAACTGTGTCCCCTGCTCACCCACTTCACATCATTATAAGACAAACAAAAAAGTTTTACCACTGTTCTGAGGAATTTGCTCACATCTCCATGGGGAATGGAAGGTGACTTAGACACATCACAGTTATAGTGACTGAGCCATTCAAAGTAATCTGCTGGTGTTTGCAGCTGCACGTCGGGATGTAGTTTGTGAACTTCAGACTGTATTTCCTTAAAGCAGTGTTCTATGCTATACAAAAAAGAGAGAGAGAAAATACTTTTGGTAGGAAGTAGGCAATAATCCCATGTCATAATGTCACAGGCCCAGAAATGTAAGTCCTACCTGATTGGGTACAACAGATAAAATTATAAAAGTTTCATATGGTATTGAAATAATAGCGACCATGCATTTTCATTCTGAGGTGAGGGCAGAGTTTGAATTTTCTAGGGGAAAAAAATACATATAATATCTATTTATTTGACTAAGATGTCCTTATTTGTTAAAACAAAAGTACAGGTGCGGGGCAGTAACGCTTCTCTTGATCGGCACTGGTTACAAGATAAAAAAAAACTGGTCGCTCAGCAAATCAGAAATGTGCAGGACCCACCAGCAGGAGAGTGACTATGCATATTATGGAAAACTTCAGTCAATGGAGTATTAATAAGTCATAAAGTATTTGAAAAGGTGTTGTAACTCTAACACTTGCAAAACACAAGCTCTTCGTACAGCATTGCCTCAGCTAAATACCTTTTTCTGTCACTCAATTCCACTCCCCACTCCCCCTGAAAAAATCTAAACATAAACATACTAAGAATTGCACATAACAATAAAAAAATGGAAAGAAAAGAAACAAAGGATTAACTGAGATGATGCTTAGGTGATAAAACTAGGTCATTTTTTAATTTTGCTTTTCCACATTTTCTTAATATTGCTAAGGCATAAAGTGGAATGCTTCATTTATCTAACAAATAAACTAGATAAATAGATAAAATATTGGCTCTTATACTGTTTTAAACACTTCACTTTGCTTAAAAGAAAAGTGGCAGAAATATTGTTATTTTAATTTCTATCGACGATTCTACATGTTCATTTTTACAAATCACTGTAGCTTCAACTGGTGACCTTGAGCATATTGCAATCTCTGGATCACATGGATATGACATATTACTACCACCTGATGGCAGCATATCTAAACTACAAGAAAGCTATGAATCCTACGTCCTTTGAAGCTGAATCCCCTTATGCAAAATTGACTGTATGCCTCTTAACAAAATTAAGAAAAATGAGCTACAAGAAAGTAAAGATATTGTTTTGAAAATATACTTGGCATTGAATATAGGTCCTATGTCACAGAACCCTGCAACCAAGCCCTGATGGTTAGAACTGGAATAATAGAAAATGTATACTGTTAAAAGTTTAAGTAAAGCTTAAAAGGAGACTTCTAAGCAAACATGAATTCAAAGTAAATTACCTTTTTTTTTTTTAAAAAAAAAAAAAAAAGCATCCTGAGAATCAAAGAAGCTTTCCATGAAAATAAAGAACGAAAAACAATACCGCCTCTGGCGATAGGCCACTTGATTTTCTGATTGGGCAGTCTTATTCAAGAACACCAGATTAAAGTCTGACAAGAGTTTGGCACATATTTTCTTAACTTACGCAAGCACTTCCACAGGCTTAGATACATGATACCCTGAACGTACACCTTGACACCAGGGACCCTTTATCAAAGGTTTGGATTATAGCGTCCTCATGTGTCTCATTCAGCCTCATCCAATTCCAGTAAAGTGAATTGGAAAGGCTCAGCAGCTGGTCTACCTAAATCTGTTTCAATTAGGACTCAGCTTTTAGGATAATCTCTAACATCTGAATCTGAGGAGAGGCCAATACCTACAGTTTACACATAGAAAAAAGCCTTCAGAGGGTTATGTGTTCTAGTAATTTGTCCACATGCTAATAAACGAATTCAGCAGTTACATTTCAGGGGAATCCCACCTCACTGATATAAGCCAATACAGTTGAGTTTTCCTGTGAAACCATTTTCTCATATATTTTAAAGTGTCAGGACACATTATCAATGGCTGATTTTCTTTTTAGTTGGCTCTCCTTATTTTGCCATTCACCACAGTCTACACATCTTGCCCTAAATCATATTCATTTGAAATCTAGTCATTTCTTCTCAAATTGTTACACATAAGGAATGCTTCTGAACACTGAAGAGGCACATTAGTTTAGTGTGCTTTCTGATGATCTCTTTGAAGTCAAAATTAAGGTTACAATATCAGTGATGCTGTTTTCAAACACGAAATTAATATCGCAGATGGAATGTAATTAGGATTAGGAGAAGCAGTACCTATTATTACATGATGTGAGATTTTAGTCTAAGTTTTTATACATATATATAGTTTATATATATGTAAATAAGTAGATAAATAAGCAAAGTTTATATATAAAGCTTATATATCTTTTACATATATTATAGCACATAGATAATATATACACATTATATATTATATAATATATAATACATAATTATATATAATACACAATTATATATATAATATAGCATATATATATATGATGATAGAGTTCTCATCGGCTAGTTCATTCCCCAAAATGCCTGCCATAGCCAGAGGCTAAAAGTGGGAGCTAGGAAGCTCAATCTAAGAACCTTATTTTGGTGGCAGTAACTCCAATTTCCTGCACCAACAGTGCTACCTCTCAGGGCCACCATTATCAAAAAGCTGAAATTAAGGGCCAGAGCTGGAAGCTGAACCCAGGCACTCTGATATAGGACATGAGCAACACAACCGGATGTCTCATTGCTAGGGTTTTCTTAGAGAACATGGCGCTTTATTTTGGCGAAGTGTTTTTAGCTTAATTGGAAGTTGCTTCAAATTTACATTAGGAGCATGGTCAGTCATGAAAAATCACCAAAGATATTCAATAAAGAAACCAAATCACCCCATTTATTGTTAGGTTCCAAATATAAGAGCGAAATCTTAAGTCTAAAAATAGCAATGGATTTCCTCCCCTAAACAGCTTAAATTCCAAATTTGCAACATTAGCTAACACGGAAAGGCCTTCTAAAGGAATCTCCTTTGTCCTCTTTCAAGGATTTATTTATTAAAGGCAGAGTTAATTTAATTAATTATTAAGTGGCTCAAAATTCAATTAGTTTTGAATGATTTAAAAGAAGAGAGACACAAAGACAAAGATAGTGATATTTTCCTTAAGCTGATTCATTTCACAAAACGCAGTAACAGCTAGGTCCGGGGTCAAACCAAAGCCATAAGCCTGAGTCCATGCAAGTGTCCCAAGTAGGTAGCAGGCTCCCCAGTCCTGGGCCACCAACTGCTGTCTTCCTGGGTGTTAGAAACAAGCTAGAGCAGAAGTGAAGCAGCCAGCACAGAAACTGTCACTCAGACACAGGTTGACAGCTTTCCTAGTGGAGGCTTAACACACAATGCCAGAACACAAGTGCTTCCAGCCTTATTTTTAATATTAAAGCTATTGGGAACAACATCAGGGTCTGTCACAAAGAGAATGATTAAATAATCGAAAAGTTCATTCATTAAAAAGGAGCCATGAAAATGAAAAGAAAAATACACTTATCAACAAGTCTGAATCTTAATATAATGTCAAGACAGGGGAGGTACCAATGAAAATGCATAATACTATCCTATCCATATGAGAGCGTGAAAACATGCAATGTTACCTATTCTTCTGAATTTAAAACACAAGTCGTCCAAGTGTGAGGAAATGCCGTAGGATAGTCAGTGTAACCCTAGGCAAGCTGTGGTGGAAGAGAAGCCATTGGGGAGAGTCATCTGGAGCTGGAGCTGGACTGGTAAGGATTCACTCGTTAAACTGGCTGGCGGGGATGTGAGTATTCATCACAGTACTCTTTATGCCTTTTCCTATGTCTCAACGTTTCTTAATAAATGTGAACCCCAATGTGCTTTAATTATAATGACTCTGAATTATCCAAGTTAATGAGCTGTGCATTACTGAGAGGCTGTGTATAAATCAATTTATAAACCATTTTTAAACTGCAATATGGAGGACGCATTTAAAAAAGGATATCTACGGTAATTTTTCTCACTCGGCATTCACTTCTAGATTCCTTGACTGTAAAAATTGCTTAGTGAACTAAAGCATTATTTTCAATAAATATTAGCTGAATGCTCAATGTGGTAGGCACTGTGATATATACTAGGATACAAACATGAATAAGACATTGTCCCATCGCTGGAGGAATTCTGTCTAGTGAGAGAGACAGACCTGTAAATAAATAACCACAATACTATAGGACTTGATAAGAGGTGTGTAAAATGTGCCAGGGGAATACACAGGAGGGATTCACTAAATGTGCCTGTGGGAAAGACTGAAAGGCTTCCCTCTGGATGAGGGGGCTGTATGCATGGATACTAACACGTCAAGAGAGTTAGTGGGCTCATTGATATCAGACCCTCAATCTTCAGGGCTGACCATCTAAGCTCACTGTTGTCTCACCTGGAAATTACGCTTACTTGTACATTAAAACTTATTTTAGGACCACATCTCTATTCATGTATGTATGCATGCACGTATAAACACACACTTGTATTTCCAAAAAGTCTGAGAAGCCCCATGATTAAATGGACAACACTAAATTAATGTGGCAGCACAAGAGTCAGTTAAGATCAGGCTGGTGTAGTGGGGATAGGGAAAGAAACCGAGAAAACAAACAATCATTGTGATTTGAAATCTTGACATTTAAGCTGACTATAAATGCTCTTGCTAGATTGAAGCATTTACATTGAATTGTGCTCTGGTTCAGAAACGTTTTGGTCATTTCAAAATGCGGTAGTTGCATTTTCAGGAATAAAAAAAGATCCTGGCACTCATCCTGCTACATTACCTCTTTGCATCTTCCTCATCTGTGTCCTCTCGTGTGGGTTTCTTTTGTGAAAACTTGGCTCAGGCCCCTATCATGTCTCATCTGCACTCTGTTAACAGCCTCCCAAGACTTGGGTCTGTTGTTTGTCCACCTTTTCTTCAGTGTTTACTAGCAGAAACCCAGTTGAAAGGAAATTTTAGAGTTAGGGGTTTCTGTGGATTCACCGCTTTACACCACCAACCCTATCATAAGAGTAGAGGGAAGGTTCCTGAATTCAGAACTTGGTTAGGCAGGTGCCAACCCCAAAAAATCTAAAGCACTAGAAGGGTCTGCAACCTGCTCCCCCAAACTCCCGTCAACTGCCTGGGGG